AATAATATTCCCAACAGAGCATAATACTTGATACCCTGTTTAGCAGAGAGTTTTCTTCCTTATAGGTTTTTTTTAGGTGATTGACTCTCGAAAATCTCGTTAAGCTAGCTCTTTGGGCATGAACTTCTTCAGACCTGCTAACCTTATTTTCTGGACCCTTTTGTAAGCTATTTTGAATAACAGTTGCCTTGTGGATGGTAAGATTTGTATTCGGCAATATGTAATGTTACGGGGCTTAATCCTGCTAACTTTGATTCTTTCTCTGTTAAAAGCCTGAGCTTCTCAATTTTGCACTGTTGATATTTAATACAGCTGAATTTAACGGTTTTTAACTAAAATTGACACAAGGGCATTTCGTGCAGCCAGCAGTTAAAATGCATCCCACACATCTCATTAGTCTTGAAAGAAACTGTAGTCTGTCAGTCATTAACTCAGTAGGTCATTCAGTGGATAATTCAGTTAGTGAGTTACAAATTCGATCAGTAGGTCAGGTCAGTCTGTGTGTTAATAAGTCTGTCAGTCAGTCAGTATGTCATTCAGTAGGTCTAATTCATTAATTACTAAGTTATTTAGTCCGAGAGAAAGAGAAATCCAATAAGTGGGTCAGTAGTTCAGTCAGTCAGTCAGTCATGTTGTCAGTAAGTCAGAGTCAGTCTGTCATGCAGTCATGCAGTCAGTCAGTCAGTCAGTCAGAGTCAGTCTGTCATGCAGTCAGTCAGTTATGCAGTCAGTCAGTCATGCAGTCAGTCAGTCAGAGTCAGTCTGTCATGCAGTCAGTCAGTCATGCACTCAGTCAGTCAGAGTCAGTCTGTCATGCAGTCAGTCAGTTATGCACTCAGTCAGTCATGCAGTCAGTCAGTCATGCACTCAATCACTTGTGAAGGCTGTAACCCGTAAAATAACCAACCTAAAAGATACCAAATTGCTGATTTTTACCCTTAAGAGATAGGACAAGCATACCCAATGCTTTTAGCCCGGAATCATCATCCCTCCCCCTCCCCTCCTCCCGCCGCCCTTCCAAACTATTTCACGTTAAAACCACTCTATATTGTAATAAATATAACTGACCTTTCTCCTAAGTCGTTATCCAGTGTCTAGGTGGTACAATTAAAAATTTTAGTCTCAGTCAACTATTAAGGAAGTTATGTAAGAGCTCTTCCGGATTATAGGATCATATAACGTTTCTGTATCTACTCAACGGTTTTGAAACTGATAGCTCGCGTTTCGGACTTACTTACAGACGGTTACGTAGGGCTTAAGATTAGACTAGAGTCTGATAGAGTGCATACCATATACCGTTAAAAACTTTTTCAGAAATTGCACACATTTGCACAAATTGGTCCGAATTAGTAAGTTCAGTAGACCTCAGTAGAACGCAGACTTGTAAAACTTTTGCACGTGTTTGCCACGTGATCATGTCAGTCTCACAAAAGGCCTATAACAAGTACAACAAGACTTTTGCCCGGGAGCATTGAGCAGAATTAGATTATAAACCTTTTTGATACGGTTCGCTGTTGTTTTTGTCAGCATGGAACTTCCCTCTAATTCATCTTGACGGGGACTGAGATTTTTGACAAAAAAAGGACTTTGAATAAAAATCGTTCTGACCCAGACTGAACCGCAGTAGTAGCAAAAATACTTAGCAGCAGTTTTTCCCAGTGGTATAGAGTGAACTAGTCAATAAACCCGTGCAATAGATATTAGACTAACGCACATTAGTAGACCCTAATTCCATGTTCCAAAAAATAATAAATTATTTTTAAAATATAAAATTATTTTTAAAGGTTGATGAGTCAATTTTAGTTTCATAATATGAATCCAACCTACAAAAACCTTTACGACTTAGCCGACTTGGTATTTTTTTGTTTCACGAGTTAAATGCCTTCACTCTAATAATCCTGTCCCAAAAGCTACTTATACACCGTTTTCAAACGAAGTACAAGGGTTTCCAAGGATTTTTCTTTGTATTTCCATAAGCTGTTGACCTCGCAGGACAGCATAGGGAATTGACTCAAGAGGTAACGGAACCGTGAATGATCAGTTGCATTGCTCATGGGTTGGTGTTAAAACGACGAAATACAAGACACAAGACCAAATCTTTTGTCAAAGTCAACCAAAAAGGTGGCCATGACGTCACATGCAACCCAAAAATAGAATTTTTTTCTAGTTGAAAACTCGTTTCAGCACTGAGCCACCTCGTCACCTATTTGAACTTTCTCGTTTTTGTTTCAACATGTTCCTGCATGGTAGAAACACGCATTTCTATTGTGATCTATCACTTCATGTTGTAGTTATAATCAAATCACTACATAGACCATCAAATGAGCTAAAACCCTATTTGTTAGCAATCTTCGACATACTAAGCCCACATTATTAGGCAATGAACTTCTGCGGATTGATGGCCGGATAAAAAATGCTTTCTGTCGTTTGTCAGTCATTTGAAAAAACTTCGTATTCGATAGTAATTGACATTCATTAGTTTCAAATGCTTCAAGCTGGAAGCCGAAAGCTCCTACGAAAAATCTTAAACAGAAAACGTCCACGCAGTCTAAAGATACATAAAGCTTAAAGACACTCTAGTGTTAAGACTTTTTGATCATGAAGAAAGTCAAATTAGGATTTATTTTGAACTGTTTAATGTGTTCTGTTGCCTGTAGCTGAAAAAACGAAAGAGTAGTAGTAAAGATGATCTTGAAATTCTCGACCTTCCTGCATGCGGTCAATGTCTAATTATCTAAACTAGCAGTTGAGTGAAGGGCTCTTAGTATGAGGAATGGTTTTGCTGATGTTCTCGTCACCCTTTAATGAGGCATTGTCCGTAGTTAGAGTCTAATGACAGTAGTTACGGCACGGAATCAAAGCACGAGTTTGAATCACTATGTTTTCGTTACAGGCCTCTATTACTACTTCTTCTAACTGTAGCTGTGGGATAAGTCAAACGAAATGGATATGTAGAATACTATATTTTAGAATTTCAGATTTTGCGCTGACACCATTCTTTATACTTCAGTGGCATGTCGTAGAATTAAGAGGGAATCAATTAGCGAGGACTAGACTGTGTTACGTAAAGAAGCTAAAAAATGAAACATGTTAAATTATAATATAGCTAATGTGTTTTAAAATGTGTTAAAAAGGGCAAGAAAAAATAGATACCTTGTAAATGCTACTTGCCTAAATAAAAGTATAATGCAGTATACTAAAAACTATATGTTTTAAATTCTTCGGCGTTTGGATCGAGTTTTGGATGATACAGCTCCTCACTAATGGAAGTAAAGCAATGAGAAAGTATAAAACGAAACTTTCATCTTTTGGATCAAATACTAATCAATATTAAGAATTATGAAGTAAAATTTCATTTTCTAGATGCAGAAACTTAAAACTCATGTAAAACAAAAAAAACAAACAAACAAACAAGGATAGCCGACTACATTTTTCCATTTTTCAGTGGAATAATGCAAATGTAATGCTGGCTTCGTTGGTTCGTTTCAACGAAAGTGTTTTCATTCGTCACCCTTACTATATGAACCATGCAACATACTGCCATGCTTTTTGCTATTTCATTCTCTTGAGGAATTAATGAAAACCACTTAGTTTAACAGGACAATTATTTGAAAACCAATTAAAACAAATAAGGTTCCTGTTAAACTGAACAGATTTTTACACTTCACAAGTCTGTTGGATAAAGTAGAAGAACTTTATTTGTACCCATTATAACATTATTTTSTAATTTGATACVTTATTTATGTTAAACAGATTGAGGGGTACCAACTTCCAAAAATAACTAGAAAGCTAAAAATGCTTGGAAGTGAAAGTAGTATATAGTGTTCCAATTCAACATGTGATTTCACATAAAAGAAAGTTGGAATTTATCATTTTTTATGCTCTGCTCTTTTGCCTTAGTTTTGCTCTGGTTCCAGTTACATCGGTATCGTTCCAGGACAGGACTTTTACTTTCACTCGGTACATATAAATAGTTAAGAAGTCACTTTGCTAGTTTCTATGCCAGGATAAAAACTCAAAATTATTAGAAAACTCCGATAACAAAACTTTCAAGTTTTACTTTGATATTGATTTATGATTTTCATCGGTATCTTTCCAGGATAGGAATCTTGCTATCAAATGAGTAACTATAGTACTTAGCTGGTTTACAATATCAAAGTGAAATTCAAAATTGTTAAAAAACCCCGATAACAAAACTTTCAAGTTTTACTCTAATACTGATTCATTCTTATCTGTCTTCTGGTACAGGAATTTTGCTATTAGTCGTACACGCCTTGGGAGGTTTAAATTCAGAATCATTGGAAAAACTTAAATAACGAAAACCAAATTTACATATCTATAGCGTATTTCGCTAATATTTTTACTTCGTTTAGAGTTTTTCCAGAACATTTGTTATATGTTTTTCCCACTAGATAATCCCACTAGACCTCAACACCTTACGATTCATCTTATCATTAAGAGTTTTTATTTGACTTAAAGAAAACGTTTCCTGAAAATAGAAAGCCTTCGAATAGCCGTATATGGCTGTAAAGATTAGAAATCAAAATAAACAGTTTATAATTAGACTTGGCAAGCCAAAAATAGATTGCAATAAAAATGCATTTGGACAAGGGGGACAAATAATAAAGGGTAAAGGCTGGAAGGGATATCCCTTCGATCAAGAACATAAACTCGGCTCAGTCGAATAAGCCACTGAGCTTGGTAAAATCTACGAAAACCTTCCTAAGGTTCAAAAAATGTTAGTTTTTTGCATGGCATACAATATATTTTGTATATAAACACGAGGGAGTGAATAAAAAGCACGATTTGTGGTATTATCTTATTCTTCATGACCTCGACGCTCAAGTTTCTTGGTCTAAAGAGGGTAAATTGTCAAGATGCTTTCGCCACATAAGGATTATCGACAAATACCTAGTGCTAAAGTAAGCAATATGTCAATGAATCGTGTAAGTCCTTTTAGTGAGCTGTTATGGTTTGGTGTAGTACACGAGAAGATGTGATGCTTATAAAGAGATGGGGATGTTTGGATACACGTCACACTGATTTCCATAGCTACAAATCCAAAGTAATTGGCCAAAGTTTTGGGTTGTGTATAAACAACACAAAAATCCTTAGACGAAGAGGGTTAACGTTATCGTACTAAGTGTATGGCATAGTTGTTTGTTTAATCACAGCACAGCAAAGGTAATAAAACATTTGGAAAGGGTGTGTTTCAGAAAGTTGGGCAGCAAAACTAACACTTATGAAAGCATAATTAAACAAAATAAAGTGTTTTATTTTTCGCTTAGAAGAAAATGGCATGAATGACCTTCAGGTGATTCATAAATTAGGCGATTTCTTTTCTTTATATCATGAAAGGGCTTTATTGTTCTCCGAGAAATCAAAATATTCTTGACCTCGAAGCAACTGCTTTCTTGTTCAAAATTTCTGTTGAATTTAAAACTCGTTGGATTCCAACGAATAATAGGCCGAACACGTTATCAATACCTGACAAATTGAAATGGCTAATTAGTTGTAGACTAGGAGAGCTTTATGTGTCGAATAACTTGCCTCTTTTAAACGTATGCTATAAGTTCTATTTAAATAAATATGAGTTGGTATTTAATGCTCAATATTGACCTAACTAAGAAGGACGCTAAACTCTTAAACATTATAAATATTTAGGTAATATTAAATAGACGATTGAAACAATTTTTACAAAAAAACGTACTATTAGGAGCTGAGAGTGACCAAACAAAAATGCATCAAGTTCAATATTAGAACTTACAGTGGTCTTATAAGGAATTATCAATACCTAGTAATGAAGGAGCGTAGAATCCCCATCATGAAGGCTCTTGAAGTACCTTTAGGTTGACACGAACTCAAGACCTCCAGAAATCCTTTTGTCATGCCACCACACCTGCCCCAAATCGTACTTATCGCAAAGTCGATCAAATAGTTTCCATAGAGGTATACATGCCTCTTTCCCTCGCGCAAGTTCAACCTACCTTAACAAAACGACTCGTGCTCTACACAGGTCTGAATAAACTGAACTGATCAAATCAGGGCACACTCCTATTTCCACATTACTTTTTGGGGATTTCGTCGCAGCAGGCAAGACACATGTACGTGCATGAGTGTTGCAATACAATTGATCAATTTCTCAATATTATCTGATCCTACGATCCTCTGCAGACAAAGGCATGAGTGAAGATGCGCGGGTTAGCTGCTGAGTTTACTAGAGTCAATCTCTTTTCTAAAAGATTATACGTTACATAATTATTTAGGTCGTAATATTATTTGTGACAAACGTTTCATGAATTCAGACAACAGTTTGAGCGAAATACTTGTTATCATAGCTCTGATATAGCCGTTACATAACAGCTGCAAATGACTACTGCGGTTTTCCCTTTTGTCGCTCGTTCTTATTCTTTTTCTATTTTTATCTTAAAGGTACCTATTTTAAAGATGTATACATTCGTATAAATAAAAAGTTATTTTGGTCGTTCAACGGTGGTTTTCTCACAGCCACCATGGGATTTCCTTGACGGGGTATTCATTTGCTCGCTCACCGAGTTTTCGAACTGAGAGAAAATTAAAGATTTTTTTCGTTTTCTACTTAGTCATATTCTTCGACAGCATTGGTGTTGGTTTTTTCCTTCTCTTTTTCGGACAGATACATTCATTAATCTCGAAGATTTCCTGAGGAAGAGGATAGTTTGAGATGCCTTGACCTTTGGCGGTTACTTTGGGCACCATGATTTAAGAACGTGGAATATAATCCTAATGCCCTTCCAACCAAATGACCACATTGTCTGGAAGAAATCCACTATAGTGGTCGGCCAGGAATTCAATAGTCATCTGTCAATATTTTAAAATCATTCCCTGGAAACTTGCCCTGAGGGTTGTTCGAATGGTATCGATTAACGACATGAGCCCTCAAAAGCTATCAAGTTATTCTGACCTTGACTGCTAATGCAGAGATTCATTCACGTTTGCTGGTGTTGTAATAGAGTTGTTTAGATTTCGTAAGCTAGTTTCTCATAGGCGAGGACAACCGGGTCACATTTGGAGATTTTCGAAGTACTTTTCAAGTAACGATTTCACTTCCTGTTCCAATTGAGCTGTAATTGATACACGTTAAACGGGATTTATTAGATGATATGACTACCCTAAACGAGCCAAGTACCTGCAAAACGGCATCTCATAATTGACATCACACTAATGGTATCTCAAAATACTTTTTAAACCACATCCCACGCAAAATTCCCCGAAGAAAATCTTCTTGCGTGTCAAAGCAAACAGAAAAATCAGGCGTAAATGCCTCGCATAAACAGCGGGGAATATTGAGCTTTTGTAAACAAATTTGAGTTAATCTGCTCGTTAAGTAAACTAGAGTAAACTCTGTTAAAAGCAAACATAAACATGAAACTCTCATACCTTGACGAGAGTTGCACATTTGGAATCCTGGAGCCAAAAGGTGAATATTCCTTCGAATATTCCTAAGCAAATTCTCATTAGATCAAGCCCCATGATGTACATAGTTAGTGTATATAGTACAATAGTTATAGAGTTCAGTGGCGGCTGTTAAAAGATGACTTAAATGATTGTCTCCTAATTATAACGATTATCAAAGCATATTTGATAAACTCTCCCAGGAAACCCATCTATGTAGGCTATGAGGACTTTTTACTCTGACAGAGCACTTTTTACTTCTTGCCATTGACAGATGCTAGTGTTTCATGCCAAGTGTGCCTTGGCTTGCGTCTCTTAGATTGCTAAGCGTGTGACGAATAAACTTCACACTCGTATAATCTCTTGGCTGATTTTTAAGGTGTTGCACTATGATTCGCTTAAGGATGAATAGATGAATTAAATGTTTGTCATTCCTTAAATTTCATTGTGGTTTGACGCAGGTCAAGACACTGATCTAAGTATGTTTTACAGTTAAACAAAAAGATCTCTCCTCGTGCATCCATGCAATTTAATCTAGCAAATATCCCAGCCTCTTACATTATGATTTTCCCTGTACGATTTTATTTTCTAGATAAGAGCTAGTCAGCTTATTATCAGCGAGGATAATTTTTTCAAGCACTTTACGATGGAGATTGATCAAAAGTTCAGCCCTATAAGATTCGTTCTTCGATTGTCACTAAGCGATGAAATGCTTTGAAAGCTTCCAAACCTACTGTTTTCGCAGATTACACGAGTTGATGAAATAATATGCTACTATCGAGGAGAATTCTAGAACGTGGGTCAAAACAAAAAAAATGTGGATGTCAGTCAATCTTGATCGAAAAAAACCAGCTTCAAAAATATCCTTCAATAATTATTCAACTTGGACGTAATATTTTCCCATTACAAACCACATACCATTTATTGACAATAAGATATTTTATTCGAGTTGCATCCAACCATCTTTTTCTATGCAACAATTAAACAAAGGAATGATACACTAGGGAATGATACGTGGTTTGAAATGGGAAAACATTACGCCCAAGCTAAAGAGGTCCATAGATGTAATTCTATAATTCCCCTTCAATTAGGGCAATCTTAAACAATAGGCATAGGCCAAACAGATTCAATTTCACTCTTTTAAACCAAGTCGGGTACATTATACTTGTTGCGTCAAAAATATCCCAAAGGGACCACAGTACAGGCGATAACACAACAGCCAGAACGAGAGACCATCCGACACGGCAGCTGATAGCTCCGTAAAAGGAAGACCATGAAGCATTTTCACTTGCTTGTATTCTGCATCACCGCAATAGCAGTTCGGAACTCGTCAAGCAAATGCTCAAAATGTCCACACAATATGCAACAAATAAAAGAAGCAAGGCTCAAAGTCATCCAGAAAGAAATACTCGATAAATTAGGTCTACCTCATCCACCTAATATCACTAGTCAAAATATCTTGAAGTTACAGCCGGTTAAGGAGCTGATAGAGTCGGAAAAACTCAACATGGATGCAAACCCCGAAGAGTTTCATGAAGACAACTATCACGCCAAGACTCACAAAATCATTTTGTTTCCAGAAACAGGTAAATATATCTCTGATAAACTTAGAATATTAATTCTCGCTACGACTCGTGATTTCCGCAAGACGTTTCAGTATTACTGCTGAAACAATAATATAATCTTAAGATCTCTCGGCGAAATACAGACTTGGCAGGAAAAATTTCGTGAGTCGAAATTCGTAACCGTTCATCTATGATATCGTTAGTGCTCATCAAGGAAACTATATACCTTTAATAGTGTCTTGATATTTAAAGCATAAACTACTTAAATTTCCATCTCGAGTACGTGGGACTAACGTACATTAAGCAGTCGGCAACTGAGGCAACAGCCTCTTCGGCGTTAAAGGATTTCAAGTATAGGATGTGTGTAATTAATTATAGGATCTGTGCTTATTGACTGATATACTCTCAGTAAATATTCTTTAAATGTCTATAACGAGCGACGACATACGAAGATTACCGAGTGCTTGATTGATGCTAATAAAATATCTCAAAATTGACATTTGGATTTTCTTCTTCAGCTCCTAAGCTTATTGCAGATCAAGTAGAAAAGTGTTGCTATTTTACCTTCACTGGTAAGGCGCATGGACATGGGCTTCGAGTGCACAAGGCCTCGCTTCAGGTTTACGTCAAAAGAGAACCCAACACCGGCAAAACAAACGCCACTCGCGACCTCAAAACATCTATAAATGTGTTCCAAAGAGGTTTTCCTGTAATCGATGGAGCTCCGCAGAAAATACTGGTTGCATCCAAAACAATAAACACTAACAAGAATGAAGCGTGGTACATTTTTAATATACGATCCTTAGTCAAGTCTTGGAGGAAAAAACCTAAAATGAATTTAGGAATTGATCTGGAAATCGAAGGTGATGACTCCTACCGTTTGGTTCACGGCAACAGCATAGCGTACCAGCCGTTTCTGGAGGTGCACACCAAGAATAGGAAGAGAAGAAGGCTCAAACGAAGGGCCGGGTTGGAATGTGGGTTCGGGCGGATGGAAAAACGTTGCTGTCGACAGTCACTCATGGTGGATTTTGTAACTTTGGGATGGGATTGGATCATTGCTCCTAAGCGGTTTACCGCCTATTACTGCACCGGAGAGTGTGAAGATATGGTCCTACCAATGCACGCGCATGCTCACTTGATGGCTACAGTCCGAGGCAACAACCGCAGCGATTTTTGTTGCACACCTAGCAAAATGTCCGCCATTTCCATGCTCTATTTTGATTTGAAAAATAGAATTGTGCTGGAAGAAGTACCCGCCATGATCGCAGATACCTGTGGATGCTTGTAGCAACTTCAAAATAAGCTGTATTACTCCCTCGTTATCTGTTTCTAGAACGTCTTATTTTTCTCACTTAATGGTTTAATGTCACTAGTACGATTTTGTGGGAGCCTATGATTAGATTGGCGAGATTATCTCGTCATCTGTTTCTAGAAGGACTTTTTTTCTAGACATTTTTGTAGTTCTCCTTTTAAACATTGACCGTCCAAAGATGTCTGTCTGTCAGGATTAAATTGTGTAACAAATGCAGTCTTTTTGGTAAAATGGAAAAAAATCGTTCCTTGGCCCAAAAAGAGGCAGGCTTTAGAAGTTGTGACAAAAGGTCTAACTAGCCCAACAGCAAACACTATTTAGACAAGTTGATGTAAAATAATTGAAACGTAAGTTCAAAGATAGAAAAGTTTTGTTAGAAGTAGTATAGGCACTCACAGAGTGGCTATTATTTATTGAGAGTTATCAAGTGTAGATGCACTTTAAAATTGAAGGAGAAATAAAGAAATGCGTGTGTGACGAGAATCAAGAAGTTGACCTCATTTATAAACTCAGATCCGGGATGAAACGAATTTCCCATCTTGTAACCCTGATAAAACAAAACCAACATGCTTGGGAAAATCTTTGAGTTTCATTCTACGAACTTCTGAATTTTTTCTCCTAGTTGAAATATAGCAGAAGAGACATTTGGAGTTAAAATTGATAGTGTTTCTGGTTTTATTGTTCCCAGGTGCTCAATCTCAATAAAGAAAGCTCGTCTAAATAGCTGTCATCAAATGTCGCCAGTAAAATTTAGACAAGACAGTAATTGTCTGACGACGTATATATAAAATGGTACCATTTAAAAGCCTAGAACTTTTTAAAGACATAAAACAGTGAATCTATATGGGACGTTTGAAAGGCATTGGAAGTTTCTCTGTTATAAGATCTTAAACAATGAAGCACCGATAAGCTCCAGAAGGTCGTCACTTTTTTTTTCAGGGGTTGTATTTTTGTGCATTCCATTGGAACTGATAATGTCCAAGCATAGATTAATCAATTGTATTAATTCTAGTTTTGAGCATTTGGAGACCTACTATTGGTATTATCTTGAGTCACACCTATATGGTGTGCCAGATAATCTTTTCCCCTTTTCATTCTTGCATTCTTTTTACGCCTGCGAAACATCTGTTCGCGCGGTCATGTTGAAATAATGAGTGTGTAGTCATACCCGATCGTTTTTCAAGGGGATTTTATGCGCAACAAAAAATTGTCGCATAGCAACGATCCTCAGATTTATTCGCTGTCTGGTAACTTCAAAAACTCCACGAAGGATTGTATCTAGTATAAGATCAAAAACGTTATTTCTTTTTCAGTTCAACAATGGCAGGCAATTGATCAACGAATCTCAGAACAAGATATGCTTCGAAAACGTCCCTAACGTTTGGCATTGAACAATAAAACCATTTATATATTTTTCGATAATGGCAGCTATTGCCCAAAAAGTCAGAATAGGGTTAGGTATCCAGCTTTGCACTAGTTTTCCTTAAAACAAAACGTTTTTACTCGTTGATGGACAAAAATTCCATCATTTTCGACTTTTGAACTCGTCATCTGCAATCAAACTGCAGAGCCATGATTGACTTCTAGAAAAAAGATAACGATCTCAAAAGGTAGTCAAGGGCAAAAGGAATTAATAGGCATTTAGTCAATGGCCAAGATGGATCTTATATAGACAAGATAGAGTAACAGCCTGCTTAAACATCTGACATGCAGTCAATCAAAAACGTTCTTTTTTTCTGGTTCATTTTTTTCCTGTGACAATATGATGCGACACTGTAAGGTGCCTGCATGTCTATAATCTGCAGTAACCTTGCTTTCCTAATCGGTGGACAATTCTTATTTTTCAATCTATAAATATAGATAAAAGGGATAAAGAATTCTTGTCATTCCAAGTCAGCATTGTCGACCCTGTTATAGATATTTATTATAACTCTTTTAACCCAGAGTTCGATTAAATACAAAAACTCTGCGCTCTTCTATTTCCAGTGACACGAACAATACCAATGGAATGTTACCGGGTGCTGGATGAAAAGCAAAGCAATGTAATTCATTAAAACATTTCACAAAAGTTTATTCACCACTACAGAGTCTCTTTGATCTTAGTAATTTGAGTATTCGATCTAAAACACATTGAGCATTTTAGAGTATGTTTTATGAAATAAAATATTAATATTTTCTATTGCAGTTGTACCAAACTCTCATTCTTTTTTTACAGTTGTCCAAAACTCTTTTAGAAACCAGGGTATTTTTTTCCCGTATATAAAAGCCGTTTTCCAGGAGATCACTCATTGCATCCCTCGCTGGCAGTTACCCTGAAAATCACTCACTATCATCTCTGGCTGGTACCGTACCTGGTACCTTGGCACTTGGTCTTAAGAATACTCACTGTCATCTCTGGCTGGTACCTTGGCAG